CATTAACGTTCAAAGCACTGCACATTACTGTTCGGTATACTGCACATCAATGATGAATAAAATGCACAATAGTATGTATGTATATATACGTTAAAAATTAAAAAATTTGCAAACTTTCTCCTAGTGTGTGTGAATATACAGGCTAAAAACCAAAAAATTTACAAACTTTCTCCTAGTCATGAGGACTTGTTTGCAATTTCGTAAGTTTTACTATATTTCATTTTAGTATATGAGACAAATTTGTAGTTTAATAAAAAGCAAAATAAATGCACAATAATGATATATAAAATGCACAATATTACATAGGAACTTGCACATCATAAAACATGTTATATTTTTACTAAAACACGTATTTGCTAATTGGTCGGTTCGATCTGTTCATAAATTTACCAAAATACTACCTCGTCTATGGTTGATCATCGAGTAGTTTAGTTGAATTGACCAACTAAGATGTCGAAACCAGAATAATTGAAATAAATTATTATTAAATATATATATATATATATATTAAATATTTTTTATTTTTTATATTTACATTTTATATTAGTTTTGAGATAAATACACAATATATATATATAGTAAAATATATTTTGTATCCGCGCCTTAAAAAGTATTATCACATTTATATGAAATTATTAATGTTTTAATAAATATGAAATAATGATAAGTGAACTGCACAATATCGTGTTTCGATATGCATTTTAGAAGTAAAAATATTTAACCGAACCGAAATATAAAATATCGAGCTTAACATTTGAGTTTGGTTCATTTCGGGCTCTAGCGTGCAATCTGATAGTCATTATTGTGCATACATTTTTAGATTTGTTCCAAACTAAACTAAAAAACCGAATCGAATTGTTTAGCTTATTCGACCGATTAACCAAATTAACATAGATAATAGAAATATTGTATTATTTGTATTAGAAAAATATATTTAATATTTTAATATTTATATTAATTTTTATTGAAAAAAACACATGTATATATATATATATATAACATCAAAATCAATATTGTGCATTCACACATACAATAATGTGAATTTCATATATTATTATTGTGTAACATTACATAATTATTGTGTAGTCTATTGATATTTCATATATTATTATTGTGTAGCATTTCATCTACTATTAGTTAGTCTATTGATTAGGTTTTTTTTATATGCATTTCAATTTTAAAAGACTCTAATAATGTGTATTTTACTTAACATTCTTTTATATTTATCAAATTATTTATATAATAAAAAATATATTTCATATTTTTATTAAGTATATTTTTATTGCTATTGTGCATTCTTGAGTGACTCAATGTGCATTTAGTATAGTACTAATGTGCATACCCATACATATTTTGTACATATTCTTATAATTGATGTGCATTTAATAAAGTTTCCATGATTTACATATTTAACCCACGTACAAAATTGTAATAAAAGTAAAAATTGAAAACTGCAAATAAGAGCCTTGAAATAATCTAATTTTCAAAATGAGGCCCTTGATGCAAATTTCAGATTCCAGTCATCCGACCACCACTCGCCGACCGAGGCCTCCATGGTCCGCCGTTCTTCAGGCCAGAGTAAACTGGTGTCCGCCATGGTTGGAGCTGAACGGAGTTTCATTTCCGACCACCATGGCCGACGTGCTTGCCACATGACGAGGCGTCGACCCACCCTATTGACGACGCTGTCGTTGGCTCAGGGAGAAAGCGCTACTTTTGGCGGTTGTGAAGAGAGATGGCAGAGCACCTCCGCCGGCGAGGTATAGGGAGTCGCTGATGCCAAAGGAGGCGTGGTGGCGACGTCGTAGCCTCGGAAGGAGCGCTCCCGGCGATGACTCGTAGTACACCGAGGGTATTTGATACGGCGCCAGAGCTCGATGACGGCGGAGCCGAGCAAGAGTGCAAGGCCGTCGCTGAGGAGTGTGTGTGTGTGTGTGTGCGTGACAGAGAGAGAGAGAGAGAGAGAGAGCAAATAAATCTGACTGATCACGTGCGTTGGGTGGGGGATTGGTTTGATTGTTTTATGGTGGGACCCACTAATGTGGTTAATGGTTGATGATAAAAAGTCCAAATACTCTTAATGAAGGTATAATTTTGCCTTTTTTTTTCGAGCATTAGATTGTTTGATCTGATGGCTGAGATTTATTCTTATTTCTTTCACTTAGCACCATTCTCACCGGAGCACGACCTATATATATATATATATATATATATATATGATTGTTTTCTAATTATTATGGACTCTTTAAGTTTCTATCATAAAATTTGTTGATTGTCTAATTACTAATATTCCTTTGGGTTAATATGTTTTATATTGTCATAAAATCATACGCACACACACATACACACACATATATATATATTTCAAATTATTACGAGATAATGCTCCTTTTTAGGCTTAATATACTTAATATTGTCATAAATCATACGCGCGCGCACACACATAAATATATATATATATATATATATATATATATATATATTATAAATAATATAATAATTCAGTATGTAGATTTTATAATAATTGAGTAAATAGATTCTAAAATATAAATAATATAAAAATTAAGTAAATATATTCTAAATTATAAGTAATATAATAATGAAGTAATTATATTCTATATTATAGATAATACAATGATATTTTAAATTATAAGTAATATAATAATTCAGTATATATATTTTATAATAATGGAGTAAATATATTCTATATTATAAATAATATAGTAACTGAATAATATATTTTAAATTATACATAATATAGTAATTAAGTAAATAGATTCTATATTATAATAATATAATGATTGAGTAAATAGATTTTAAATTATAAATAATATAATAACCGAATGAAGAGTTTCTAAATTATAAATAAGATTAATAATTTATAAAATTTTATATTTATTCAGATTTAAATAAATAAAATAACCAAAAATTATTTATAATATTAAAGTTCATGATAATTGATATTTTAATTAATAGTTTTTTGAATTATAAATAGAATTTTTTAATTATTATATATTTACCAGAATTTAAACAAATAAACTGAATAAATAATAAGTACATAAATTATTTATTACAAATTCAAAAATAATAATTTTATTGAAAAAAATAATTTATATATTAGTCAAACATTTAAAAAAATATAAAATAATATAAGAACTAAATAAAATAAATAAATAAAAATCATATATATATATATATATTGAATACAAAATATTTTATTTACAAATTAATACATTAATAATATATTATATATAGAAGTGTCATTTTATTTTATTTTAAATAAATAAATTTAATTTAATTTAGTCTATTTTTATTTATATATATTATATTACTTCAATTCAAAAACGTATATTTGAATTTTATATCAAAATTTATTTTATACTTATATTTTAATTTATTTAAATCAAATTATCATTTTATTTTTATTAAATAGTAATATATTTATTTATTATTTTCAAATTCCACATTTAATTTAATTTTTATTTTATGTTATTTTTATTTTTTTTATAACTACTTTAGTTTGTGATTATTTTATTTTTTATTTTTTTGTTTAAATAAAATTATTAGTTTATTATTATATTAATTAGTAATATATTTATTTATTTATTATTTTTAAATTTAACACATAGTTTTATTCAATTTAATTTTTATTTTATTTTATCTTAATTATATTTCCTTATAGTTACTTCTTTTTTTATTATTTTATTTTTTGTTTTGATTAAGTTTTTCTCTGTGTTGTTGTTTTAAATAAAAGTGGTGCTAAATATGTACCACAAATAATGGTGGCGCAGTGGTTGAAGGTCTTGCTATGGAGCTTTTGGCTCAGGTTCGAATCTTAGGAGCAGCAAAGTATATTTTGCCAATAATGGCTAGAAAAGCAAGGGGCAAAATAGTAATTTTAATTTTAAAATAAAAAAAAAAATCTGAAAAAGTGGATAATTATCGCATAAGAGCAATCTGTACTGCACGCGCCGTCAAGTTGGACGGAGAGGGGGGAACCGTGCAACAGTTAGTTAAATACAAGGGGGTCTAACGCAATTTTTAAAATACTAGGGGAAAACGTGCAGATTCCGTATAATACAGGGAGGTTATGTATATTTTACCCTTCATTTTATGTTACGACATTTCAATAATTTTTGTGTAAATTGCATTGTTCATTTTAGCATGATAAAGAGTGTAGAGTTTTTTGGCATAAAAAATCTTATGACTGATAACTTTTACTCAACTACTTAAATTTTTTTATTTTGATATTTTGTAAAAAAATAAATTCGTTTTAGTTAATGAAACAATATAAGTTTTATATTTATACTTATTATTCACATAGGTTTTTAAATAGAAAAATGCTACAAGTACATAATAAATGTACATAGAGGTGTACATAACACTCACATTGAGTAGAGTCCACTTGATTTTTTATTTTTGTTAGAACCCACTTAATGTGAGTGTTATGTACTCCTCTATGTATAGTATTATGTACTTATAGCATTTCTCTTTTAAATATATAATAAAATTTTATCAATATAATTATTTATAGAATCAAATTATAGTCAATAGAATTTCTGAATAAAAATTTTGAAATGACACATATATTGAAATGAATATAATATAATTTATTATGCACGGGTTGTGTACTAATTTAAAAATAGACATTTTTATATAATTTTGCACAATTTAAATTTTATATAACATTTACAATAAATTAATATAGGTACATTGTATTACATACTGATTCCTTGTTTTAATTTATAAATATTATTTAATGAAAAAATTTAATTTATAAATATTAATGAATATCTCTTACCATGCATCGCACGAGTACGAAAGATAAGTAAAATTATTATTATTATTTTGTTTTGTATGAACATATAAATATGTGTTAAAATATTATTTACATTAATACAAACAGATCAATGGACTAATATATTATTAAAATAAAATTTAAAAAAAAAAAAAAGATTTTAAGGTACAAACTCGTCCGTTCATCACACGAGATGTTTACTAACAGTACATACATGTTAATATAAAAGGATTATAACGTGCAACGATATAGAACCTAAATCTAGATGAGTTGAAGATTAGATGAATTTAACAAGATCGATTTTTCTGATTTTTTTTACTATTTTACCATTTTCCATATTTGACCAAGCAGGGAGAACAATCGAATTTATCCATATCCATAGTTTCAACTTTCACCTCAGCTCAGCACAATCAAAGGATAAAAGGGCAGAATTTACTAAATTTTTAGGAACAAGACTCGATAGACGTCACTACTCAAAACCAAGTAATTTTAAGGCTGAACAAGAATAGTGCTCCTGCGCCACTCCCAATAGTTTGCTCTCATCGGATCAACCAATTGCAAAACTGAACACACTTTTTCTGCAAAATCCAAATCCAGGTTCAGGTTCTGGTCAGACAACAATTCATCAATAGCGTTCTTCAATTCACTGCTTGGTTTGTAGTCATGGCAACCGAGCAGATCCAAAACCACCTTCAATGCGTGAACATACTCTCTTTTTCCCTTCAAAACATCCACACAGACTGATTCTACACGAGGATCATTGTCTATGGATTTAGGATCATTTTTGTAGAGCCCCAGCAGGTATCTCCATGAGCTCTCGTTTTCGGGCTCGTCTAAAATGGCTTTAATAGCATAAGCAACTTCTGGGTCCCGCATGGACTGTAAACCGCCGTGGAAAGGAGATCGAGTTATGACAAAGTATCTCTGCAAATGAATAAAATGGCAAAGGAGGTTAAGCACCAAAAGTTAGCCAACAAGAAAAGAAATGCCACCCATCCTTTTCAGGTTAAACAAGACAAAATTGTAAGCCAGAAAATTGGAATTAAAAGTAGAAATAATTTGTAACTTTTGATTCGTAGGATAGGAGGCTTGAGTGGAAGATCCCATCATTTGTATGACAAATGGGTTATTGGTAAATAGAAAAATTAGTTTGCAGAGAACTAACCCACTAGGCTTGTTTGTTTCTTTATACCTCCCACTAGTCATTTGATTTTTTTAAGGTCAATTTTGAACATATCCCATACACATAAGCTATCATGCATGTTTCTTCATCACTTTTGCCACTGAAAATCAACTTTGCCTTTCGTATGCAAAGTGCAAATAAAATCCTATGCATCTTTCAGATCTTGTGATCTATACATTAGGAAGCAAACTTCTTGTTATTTCAAACAGTAAACACATTAAGAACCTGCTGCATTAATTGATAAGGACACATTACTAAGTTGATGAGGACACGTTATTAAGTGAAAACAAACTAAACCCTCAACATATTGACCATTGCGTGTGTTGGGTAATGTCCATTTGCAACTAAACTGTACAAAAGCATCAGAGATTGAAAAAAAAAAGGAATAATACCTGATTCAAAGCAGAATTATTGAAAATGTCATCTTCAAAAAAGGAATAATACCTGATTCTAAGCAGAATTATTGAGAATATCATCTTCAAAAAAAGGAATAATACCTGATTCCAAGCAGAATTATTGAAGATATCATCTTCAAGGAGTTCATCACAATAGGTAAGCTCATCTTCCCATCCTCCAAGGGCCTGAAGAGCCCACTGCAAAATGCGAATAAATTATAAATTATACAATAAATAAGGAATGTGAATAGAATCAGCAAAAATGAGTCCTGAAAAAGTTACATATATATTTTTTTGAATCCTAAATAGTGAAAAATTGAATTCCAACCCACCTGCCTATGGGACCAGGCATGATAGTTCTTTGCATCCTTAAAGAGGATTTCCCTTGTAAACTCAAGCTCCTTACCTGTTATACAAGTCCCAAGCTTCTCGGCAACCCACCGTCGGTGGTGCCTAAAAATGCAAAATCAATTCAAGTTAACTTAAATAGCACTTTATTAAAGTNAAAAAAAAAAAAAAGAAAAAGGAAAAAAAAAAAGTTAACAGAATGGAATGTGTTTATGCATCTCTGCCAAAATTGAAATTCAGATTTTTCTAATTAAATCTCAATTAGTGAACAAAACTTGCACAAGCACACTTCAAAATGAAAATTTAATTGGCAAGTTGGAAATGATGCATATAAAATAACATTGCTTACCATACTTGATAGTTTTTGGAATTGTCTCTAGCGATCCGCTCAACAAAATGCAATTCTTCATGTAGATCAGTATTGCATGCCTCAAGTACTAGACGTCTAAATTGCCAAACCTAAAAGAAACGGGCAAACATCATCAAGGACCTAACACCACGGGGCATCCAATAAAAAGATCGAGTCAAATCAGCCATGACCATAAACATTCTTCTCTTGCGTAATGAGAAGTTTTGTCATGTTATTCCGCGTCAGCGCTAGATAAGAATAAAAACAGTTCTTGACAAAACCAAGGATGTTACGCAATTTCTCATGCAAAAGAAAAACAAAAAGAAGCACGAAGGGTATAACAACACAAAATATAAGTATTGCAGGTGAATATATGCCTACAGATCAACCCACAAGGCCATCTTCACATTAATAGCTTCTATATGTGTTATTTTGTGCTTCTTTATCTCATAGGCTCAGCAACACAAAGATACCAACACATGATCATGTTTACCACTAACGCACCGTCCCCCATGCACGTAAACAATTATTTACTAGCCTGGGATAACTGAAAAGGATTGATCTTACGCACATTTGAGGATCAGAAAGCTGTTGGGTCGTAGAATGTAAAACAGCATAAAATCAACTCAACTCACAATGTCTAATGCAGATGATTCCTTCCCTAACACCCGTACCCCTTACCCCAAACTAGGCTTGTAAACAAATCAAACTTTTTTGATTCGATTCGATATTCGAATTCGATATTCGTGATTCGAATTCGAAATATTCGAATTCGAATTCGAATAATGTTTTATATTCGAAAGTTAAACGAATCCGAGTTCGAATTTGTAGATATTCGATTCGAAATTCGAATATTCGATTCGTTAACGATAATTATATAAATTTTATAAATTATATATAGTATACATTTTGTTTATAATATATATGTATATATATATATATATATTGCTATATTTCTACTATTTTTATGACATAAAAATTAAAACATTATAAATTTTCAAATTTTCCTAAAAATATATGAAAAATAAAAATTATTTTTAATTATAATATTTTTTAATTATAATTTTTTTGAAAACGATTTCGAATCAAATCGAATATGTTCGAATATTCTAAACGAATCGAATACGAATCAAAAAATGAGTTCGTTAACGAATCGAATACGAATTCGAATCTTCGAATATTTTAACGAATCCGAATCGAATCTCTGAGTATTCGCTTTGATTCGATTCGTTTACAACCCTACCCCAAACACCACTACCTCCCCAGACAAGGTGACCAAAAGGAAAAAGGACGAAAGGACAAAAGAAATAAGCGTGTATACGTCACTAACACCATAAACCAACAAAAATCATATCAAATGCCATTTCTCCTATTTCTCCAGGTCAACAGGTGTATAAGTGAACAATTGAATCAAATATACTCATAAGCTTTCTTTATATATAGCCTCAGTCGAAAAACTAATGAAAGGAATAAAATAGCAATATAGGAAGACGACCATTACAGTGTAGTTTCCTGAATTGAGAAGAATGGCTTCTTTAGTGAGTTCAAGTGCACGTAGGGATCGCTCATCGGCCAAGTACACTGCTCTGAAGTAATCCATGGTCTCACTGAACTCGTCAGTGTAAGCAATTGGCACCACTGGATTCAGGCCGTCGTCTTGTGGTACAGGCACTATATCCGCCCATTCGGGCCTCTGGCTAATCGGAATATGCCCTTTATCTTCTTCCTTTTCTGCTTGCTGACTCATTTTCGATCTCAAGCTGTAATAATTTAAAAGTGCGATTACAAGAGAAGGCATATGTAAGTGGAATTTCTGGGATCTGGGATTTAGATTATAAGATGCTAAAATAATGGATTTTCATACTCCGTAAACTCACCCCCAAATGAGAATAAGTTCACGATAAGGCCATACTAATTGAGCAATAACTTAAGGCCATACTAATTGAGCAATAACCTGATAAAATAACCATACTTTCAGCATGATAGAATTTATAACAAGAGGCTCAACCAATTCATAACACTTGAGGCTCAAACATGCTCAGAACAAAATAAGGCAAAATCTATATCTATATATATATATATATATATATATATATATATATATATATAATTGTTGGCTAATAGCATTTAATAAAACATTTAATAAAACCTCATTTCGATTTCCCTCCAAAAAGCGCCACAAACTTTATCATTTATATCTCTCTCTATATTTAATTACTAACAATAAATTTAATCATATTAATTATTGTTTACCATCTTTTGATGTTACAATCTATTATTACTATTATTAATCCACCATATCTAATTAATGCTAAAATATTTCATTGCTCTTTTTTTAGGGTTAATTAAGACAAAAACCGTTACATTTTATATTAACGGAGTAATAATTATACTATTTTATTATATCATATAATAGTAATTATTAAAACTAATAACTATAGTTTACACTAAATGATATATGAAAGTTACATAAACATAAAAAATTATTGTAAACTTTTTGCTAAAGTTATTTATTCTAAAATTAATATTATATTTTTTTTTCTTATTTAGCGATTGTATTTTTAAATAAGTTAATTTATTTTAATGTTATAGTAACATTCCTTAAAATCACATAATCAAATGTTATTATAAATTTAATATATTTAGGCTAATAAATTGGCGATCTCTCAAAATTACATTATTTATTATACTTTATGTAATTAATACAGTGGTTCGTATGCAATCAAATAGTTATGTACTATTTATTTTAACCAATGATCAAATTTTAAAGCATAATATCATTATCTAATTTATATTTTTATTATTATATGCATAAATATAACTTATAATACTCTATGTTTAAAATATAATATCATTGTATAACTTATAATTTTAATACTATATGCATAAATGTAACTTAAAATATTCTATTTACACTGTGCACAGGGTCGAATACTAGTGACATATAACCATGCCTCCTTTTAACTTAAATTCTTAGAACTCAAGCATGCAATTTTTTTCTGAAACTGAATATTTCCAATCTCACATCATCAACACAAAAGAGCAAAACATAGCCTCAAGACAACACTATTAAACAAGGTACCAAAAACACCAAACTCAATCATCTCAAAACTTCACAAATCCACTAGCAACCTAAACAAGCTTTCAAATGGATCTTGACTGAAAAATAAACACTTCAAAAATCATACTACCGGCATGTACTCTCCTCAATTCAAAGGCTCGAACATCACACATTTAAATAGGCCTTATAAACTGAACAAGAACTTCTGAAAATCTAAGCATGTAAACAACACATAATGAGCATGATAACATCTTCAAGACATCAAATCAACCAAGGAAAATAAACAAATACAAAACAACAAATAAATTCCAAAACTGGGAATTTAGTATCAAAATCAGCCTTAGAATCATCACATACCAGCACCTTAAAAGACAAGCCAATAGTTTTCACATAATGGAAATAAACAAGGCAAAGACATCAAACATGACATGCTTTATCATGCTCCCTTATCTCCAAAACTTCATAACCCTTGAACAAGTGTCTAACTGAACAATAAGGCCTCTGATAATAGCACAAAAATAGCAGCATACACACGCATATTAACAAGGCTCTGCAATGTTCTAAACATAACACGGCACATTTGAGAGATCCACACTTCCACACAATTCAATTTCACAACAATTAGCTCCAATCTAAAGATCCAAATTTCACCACAAGGATCTACAAACACACAGAAAAAAAATAATAGGGATTTACGATATTCACCTCCTTCCGAAGTATACACGCACGACAGAGATCGGAACTGTGGTTCGCGGCTTCCGGCGTGCGTGAGGGCTGAGAGGCGGCTCAGCGTGGCGCGCGTGGATCTCCTCGGCAAGGTGCAAGATCGCGACTTCCTCGACGGGACTCGGCTGAGGCTCGCGGTGGCTCGGTCGGCGTGTTTCCGACGGGGTGCTGTTCGAACAAGGACGGCCGCCGGCGAAGGAGCACGGCAGTTCACGGTGGTCGCGATGGTGGTCGGAAAAAGGGACCTCGGCTGTGGATCTCAACTCGCTCGCCCTTCCTCGACGGCGCTGCTCGCGGCGAGGCTTGGCTGAGGGCGTGGAACTCACGGCGGCGGCGACGTGTGGTGAACGGACGCCGGCGAGGCTGCTCGTGGACAGAGGTTCGGCGGCGGTGGTTGTTCGCTGCTGCCCGCGGCTGGGCTCTTGGCGAGGGCTGGGTCACACACAGTACGCCGGCGAAGGGCTCGCGAGGGCTTACTCACGGCGTGGCGTCGCTGGCAGGGCTCGTCAGCGATTGATGCCGGCGATAAGGGTCGTTCAATTCGCGAACAGAGGAAGAGGGTAACGAGGGTTGTCGCCGGCGAAAGATATGAAGGTGTTGCTCGTGAAAACGCCGGACAAGAGGATGGAGGGGTTTCCGATGGGTTGAGGGGAGTGTTTTCGCTGAGTTATGTGATAATCTCTGATCCGATATTTCTGATAAATAAAAGGATGAGGCGAGATGCGTGTTCTCAGATCTGCTCTCCAGAAGAAAACGTGTGAGGAAAGTGGAAATTGGAATCTCTCCTAATTTTGGATTAAAGGAGGTGATTGATTTTTCTCAAATCTATATCTATATTCATATTAAAAAGTATATCATTTACCATATTTAGTATAAAGAAAAGTCAACAACATTTATTACATTATTCTTTCTGTATCTATATCTATATCTATATATATATAATCTATACTTATATAATAAGGGGTACCATTTACGAAATTTAGTAAGTTGAAAAGTCAATGCAATAAATGCATTACTATTTTGAGCAATATAATATAATATCATATCTATACTTATATAAAATGAGATTCTATTTACTATCCAGAAAAGTCAACTGCATTAAATGTCATTACTATTTTGGTATTATAATATTTTATTTATTTAATTAATTTATTATTTGTTTTATTTTAAAAAGGTAAGTATAATAAAAAGATTTTAATAATAAAAAAATCAAATACCAAATAAAAATGTACACTTTAACTTATTTGATTATATTTGGTATTTGATTATACCAAATATATTCCTATTTAGTATATACATTAAATACTTACTAAAGTATTTATTTTTTTTATTTGTCAAAGTTAAGTATAGATTTGTTTATATTATCAAATCATAAAAAAATATTAAATCCATATTGTAAAAAAAAAAAAAAAATCATATAATTTTATAACAATTCTACTACACTATTTAACAATATTTTTTTTTTATTATATAATAAAATAATAATTAAATATTATATGGTGAACAACAATAAGTAAAACTGTTACTTTCTCTTATATCAAGGGATAAATTTATATGCTAAAATTAAATTTTTATTAGTATAAATGTTTTAGTGAGATAATATATTAATTATTTTACAAGCTAGCCCTAACATGCTCATATTTAATGTTTTAAAAGATGTAGAAAAAAACTTATAATAACTCTATTGTTTTTTAGACTTAAACGTTGATTAAAAGAGGTAAAAAATGCTAATTTTTTAGACTTAAACGTTGATTAACACCATAGATTGAGAGTCTTTATTTAGTAAAATTCCTAATTGTAATAAAAAAATTAATTTTTGCTATATTTTAGAATATCTTTAAATTCATTATAAAAAGAAAAAAAAACTACAATGAAAAAAGCAAGTCAGCTATATATCGATTTGTTGTACTCCTCAAATCACATTCACAATTTGGCTACAAGGAAAGAAACTCATTGATTAAAATATTATTTTGTTAGTAGTCTTATTGTACAAGAGACTTTAAGACTCCACTTGAATATTATAAAACTTTTATTGAACATTGTACAATTTTCTTGCGTATTATAAACTTTTATTGAATATTGAATCTTACAATATGATATTCTCCAAATAAATATATCTCGTGCTTCGCACGGGTCACGTACTATATATATCCCGTACATTTTTCTTTATTCATGTATATAATTATAAACCTGGATAAATAGCCTTAAAATTGTGCACCCCGTGCATCGCACGGGCTCTGTACTACTTATATTAAAAGATTAACCATTTACCAAATTTAGTAAGAAGAAAAGTCAAACAATAATTATTACATTCTATTTTTAGCAATTTTTCAATTTTCATTTTATTGCAAAAAAAGCGAACTATCATGAATGCATTCTAAATTCGTCTGTTGATTAATTTTCTTTTTAATTAATTACTAGAAAATCAGTAAACCATAACTGCATCCTATATGAGTTTTGTGAATGAGGTACTTTTGGGTATTGTTCACGATTTTGTAGATTACAAAAGTTCCTTATCTTTTTTAGGGAGATCTTATTGCATAGAAAATCTGTTCTCATTTTGAACTTAAATTTTAAAATTTTTTATTCATTATGATTATATAGTTGCCTTAAAATCGGACTCAACAAAAATTTTGAATGAGGCAAAATACAATAACATCTTTTTCTATAAATCAAAAATTAAATATATATTTATAATTTTGTCGAATTCAAAATTCCATTTCATTATTCTTTAGAAAAATACTGATCGCATCTAATATCAAGTATCATTTCAAATTTATATTTAAAATTTTTTATTCCTTAGCATTTGGTTGCCAAAAAAAATCGGGCTGAATACAAAATTTGAATTAGGCAAAACGAAATTACATATTTTTACATAAATTTAATTTAAAGTAGACAAAATTTGAATTGAAAATTTAAATTTTAAGATCCCCTAGGATTTGGTTGCAACAAAATCGGATATAATGAAAAATTCTACTAGACAATCAAATCAACGATTTTTTGTTAAAAATGGCAACAAATCTTGAATCTAACATAAAACAATTTCATTACTCTTAAAAAGTTATTAATTTTCAAAGGTTGGGACTCTTTCAATTTAATAATACCAAAATTTCAGATTTCAAATACTATAAGTTCGAAATTTATGTTTTTTCGAAACCGATAATCCTATTTTGGAAATAGATACAATCTTATATTTTGGAAACCGCTAATATTATATTTTTCAATTTCACATGTATTTCATAAATTACACATTTTCAAAATTTTGACTTATTTTGTTTAAATTTCATGATTTCGAATTTGAAATCTTCTGTTGGAGTAATTTGTAATTACTAATGTTTTTTATACTTTTAAACATATTTTTCGAGTAAATTTTTAACGCATTCTATAGATTAAATTATATGTATATGTTAAATTTAAATATCCTTAAACATGTTTTGGTTACAAAATAGTTTAGAAAAATTTTAAGTGAATTCAAATTTTTTTAAGAATAATATGTAATATTTTACATAATCTTATATATGTTATATAATATTTTAGGTGTTTTTAATATTTTAAACATGCATGTTTTATGTTATCTTAGACAAGATAATTTTTTATATTGTAAATGGTATCTCATGTTAGCTCTATTTAATTATTTATAATTATTATTCAATATTGTTTACTCACTTATTAATTTATAATTATTATTTTATATAATTTACCCGTGCATCGCACGGGCTACGCACTAGTAAGAATTAACATTTTTAAAAAATAGTAAGCAAAAAAATAGAGAATATTAATTTCATTCCATTTTTTGTATGTTTTTTTTTTTAATTTTTTTAATAAAAAATCAAGTAGCATTTAATGATAGTACAAATCATGGGATTTGTTATATAGATGCATATTTGAATTTCAAACTTCAAACAAAACATGCCTAAATGTATTTTGAATTTTTTAGGGAAAAAATTTAACAAACACGTTAAAGATGTCATACAATACATATATTTATATATATTATCTTAATATATAGGTTAATTAGTTTCATATCTAAACAATATATATTTAAACAATATACAAACAAATATAATAATTTATCGTACAATACAGACAAGTATATAAACAATATATTTATATACAAATATAATAAACAAATATAATAAACAATACAAACAAATATACAAACAATATATAAACAAATATAAGAACTTGTCACGTGTATATTTCGTACAATACATATATTTGTGTATATTATCTTAACATATAAGTTAATTAGTTTCATATCTAAACAATATATATTTTAGGAACTTAAAGATTCATAACATTACTGACGTCATGTATATTTATAATATATTGTCACGTATATTTTACTACAATTGGTAACTTTTTTGAAATTATTTGAATAACTGAAGGTTGATTTATAATTTGAATTTCAAATTCATTCAAACATTTAAAAGAAAATATCATAAGAAGATTTTTTTGATACATTTCATTTTATCTCAACTTACATATAATCACGTTCCTACCTAACATTAAATTTGCTTATATCTTTTTAAATTAATTACATCACTAAATAATATTAATATACATTACATATTTATCATTATATAACAAATATGTTACTTCTACAAGTGTTATAAATAATAATGACATTATATGATAATAGATTTTTTAATAGATTAATAATTGAGTATTATGATGAACCAAAATATGTAAAATTATTATTATTTTGTATTAAAAAATAAATATATATGTTAAAATATTATATATAATAATATATTGGTTCATCATGCTATTACAATAAATTTTATAATAAAATAATATGAGTATTATACGAGGAACAAGATTACGTAAAATTGTTATTTTTCTTATATCAAGGAATAAATATATATAATGAAATTAAATTTATATTATTATAAACATGTGAGCGAGATAATATATTAATTAATTTACGGTCTAGCGCTATCACTACCAGGCTCAGGTTTAATGTCTCGACAAAAAAGATGACGTTGATGAAAGAGGTAAAAAAATAGATGATCAAACTCTATTACTTTTTTAGGCCTTAACTGACAAGCCCTATTGTCCACTCATTTAATATCTCCCGTGAATCACACGAGCTACTTAACAGACAAACTCTGTGGAAATGACTCATTTAATATTTATGTCTCGTGCATCGCACGAGAGATTCTATTTACTACATTTACTATCTAGAAAAGTCAACTGTATTAATGCCATTACTATTTTGGTATTATAATATTATATTTGTTTAATTGATTTATTTATTTATTTTATTTTAAAAAGGTAAGTATAATAAAAAGATTTTAATAATAAAAAAAATCAAATACCAAATAAAAATGTACACTTTGACTTATTTGATTATATTTAGTATTTGATTATACCAAATATATTCCTATTTAGTATATAAATTAAATACTTACTAAAGTATTTATTTGTTTTATTTGTCAAAGTTAAGTATAGATTTGTTTATATTATCAAATCATAAAAAAATATTAAATCCATATTGTAAAAAAAAAATCATATAATTTTATAACAATTCTACTACACTATTTAACAATATTTCTTTTTTATTATATAATAAAATAATAATTAAATATTATATGGTGAACAACAATAAGTAAAATTGTTATTTTCTCTTATATCAAGGGATAAATTTATATGCTAAAATTAAATTTTTATTAGTATAAATGTTTTAGTGAGATAATATATTAATTATTTTACAAGCTAGCCTAACATGCTCATATTTAATGTTTTAAAAGATGTAGAAAAAAAACTTATAATAACTTTATTGTTTTTAGACTTAAACGT